TCGACAGTGATGTATTATTTTTTAATGTATCCTTGTAGTTGATTTGCTAGTATTTTGTTTTGGAGTTTTTCATCAGTATTCATCAGAGATATTGGTTCACAGTTTTTGTTTGTTCATTTGTTTGTTTGTTTTAGAGTTATCTGTGCCAGATTTTGGTATCAGGGTTATCTTGGCCTCATAAAATGTATTAAGAAGTATTGCCTCTTCTTCAATTATTTGGAAGAGTTTGAGAAAGACAAATATCAAATCTTGCTCAAATGTTTGGTACAATTCACTAGGGAAGCCACCTGGAACTGGACTTTTACATTTTGGGAGGTTTCTGATGTTTGTTTCCATTTCCTCACTGTTGATCAGTCTGTTTAGATTTTCCACGTGATTCAATCTAAAAAAGATATATGTTTTTAGGAACTTATCTATTTCTTCGAGGTATTGAATTTGGTGGCATGTAGTCTTCCATAGTACCCTAGCATGATCCACAGATACATCTGTGATGTCTGTGGTAACTTCTCTTCCACTGCTTATTTTGTTTACTTGAGACTTTTCTCTTGTTTCCTTTGTAAGTCTAAACAGGGGTTTGTAAATTTCACTAATCCTTTCAGATACCAGTGCTTTGCTGCATTAATATTTTATATATTCTTTTGTTACCTATTCCATTCAATTCTGCTCTAATTTTCATGATTTCCTTTCTTCTGCTTAGATCGTTTACTTGAACTTTTCCTTGTATCTTGAGATTGGCCTGTGATGATATAAAATTCTCCTTTATTACTGCTTTAGCTGCATCCCTACAGTTGTGAGATGTTGTATTGTCATTCTCATTTGTCTCTATATATCTTTTTAAAATTTTTTCAATTTTACTTAATTTGCTGTGGTGATACTGGCTAATAAAATATGTAGGTTTCAGGTGTACAACTTTATAATATGTCACCTGTATATTGTATTGTGTGTTTACCACCCCCAGCCATGCTTCCTTCCATCACCACTTATCCCCCATTTACCCCCTTCTCCCTCTTCCCCACCCACTTTCCTCTGGTGATCACCACTCTGTTGTCTGTGTCTATGAGTTTTTTGGTGTTTTCTTTTTGTGTTTGTTTTTGCTTAATTTCTTCACCTTTTGTACCCTGTTCTCCTACCACCTTCCATCTCAGCTGTCAGTCTGTTTTCAGTTTCTGTTTCTATTTTGTTTCTTTGTTTCTTTGTTTGTTTTGTTCATTAAATTGCACATATAAGTGAAATCATATGGCATCTTTGTGCCATCCCAGTGCTGTCCCCTGCAGGCACATGCTGCCTGGCAGTGCATCTGTGATGTGTAGGGTTGGAGTGAGCTAGGGGAACTTGGCCACTTTTGTTGTTGCTTTGCTCTCCCAGGAATGTTGATTGGCAGACCTGTGAGGCATCCCCTCTGTTTCTCTACCCAACCCTGGGATTAGTGGCAGTGTGCCTGTCACTCAGGGAAAACCTCTTTCTGTAGTACCAGTTCTCTGCTTTGCAGACAATGTGCTCTGCAACACAATACTCACTGCTACAGCATCTTTAGGGCCTGCTACTAGCTCCGGAGGAGTGAGAGGAAACAGCCAGACTCTGTGGCTTCGTTCCTCTGTCTGGATGGTTCATGACTGCCAGAAATGATTGGCCTCACCTCACTGCTTCACCCCTGCCCAGGCCACTGTGCTCAGCTGCAGCTCATATGGCCACTCAAGCTTGAATGCTCTCTGAATCTCCCTGCTCCTCCTTCCTCCTGCCTAAAGGAGTGCCAGCAGGAACATGATTCCTCCCCTGCCCAGCTAAGCCCTGCAGTGAGCTCCCAGCAATAACTCTAGGCTTTGGGCTGCCTCTTTGGCCTGGCCCAGCTCTCCTCTGCTCCCACCTCCCCAGTTTGTTCCTACTTGCCCATCTTCAGATGTCTCAATGCGCGGATCTCTCAAACATGTTTGTGTATTTAGTGGGGAATCCTTTGTTGAATTACAGCTATTCGAACTGTTGAAACTTCAAGGGGAGAGACCCAGGGGATCTCTCATGCTGCCACACCTCTGCTTTCACATGGCAATCTTGATTAGAAGTTTCCAGTTGTGGTCATACTCAGAACTGCTTGGTGAACATTTAGAATATAGTGATCCATAGGCTTTACTACAGAGCACATGAGTTAGAACCTAGGGTAGGTGTGGTCTCAGTTTGAGGTTAAAGGGTCCACATATATAAAAGCAGGGCAGTTATTTTGGTTGTAGAGACATTTGTCCCATATGATTGGTACAAGCACAGTTTAAGAAGTAGAAAAGTGCCCTGGCTGGCGTAGCTCAGTGGATTGAGCACCGGCTGAGAACTAAAGTGTTGCAGGTTCCATTCCCAGTCAGGGTAGATGCCTGGGTTGCAGGCCATGAACCCCAGCAACCAAACATTGATGTTTCTCTCTCTCTCTCTCTCTCCCTCCCTTCGCTCTTTAAAAATAAATAAATAAAATCTTTTTTAAAAATTAAAAGATTAAAAAAATTTTAAAAAGAAGTAGAAAAGCCAAGAGGTCTCACCCAGTGTTAATGGCACAGAAACTTCATGTCTTTAATATGATGTTTTCTCTGTTCTTTCCTTTTGAGTCAAATTGGCCTCATCCGGCAGTATGACACCCACCTCCCTCTCCCTTGAACATCCACTCCCTTAATCTTTAAACCCCCAGGACATTGAGGTTCTGGTCACCATCAAATAATCTTCAGAACAAAGCCTCAAGTCTGTTGACCACAGAGACAGAGTTTCAGTCAAACTAGAGATAGCATCTAGGACTCAGCTGTGTTTCAACTGAAAGTCCAACTACCCCTCCAAACACATCCTTGAAAAACCAGACAGAGCAACTGTATGGCAGACTGACATCAGGACCAATTAAGAGACCACACTCTAGCTTCACCATAATTAACCATCTCCCCTTATATAACACACCCCCTAGAAGCCATCTGGGTCCAGGTCTTTGAGCATGAGCTCACCTATGACTCCTGGCACGGCACCATTTCAGTCATTAATAAACGTCTCCTTTCTTGGCTGCAATCTCCTCTGTGTATTTAATTGGGCTTTGATGCTCAAAGGTCAGTGAGGCACTCTTAGTTTGGTGACAAGGTTAGGATTTCATGGCAGATGCAGTTGTAAGAAGTAGCATAACACCTTGAGTGACCCTTCAAAAACCAATCAGCTCATGTAGCTACTCTGCTTATCATTTGCAATATCATTCTCCAGTCCTCTCTCAAGAAAAGTCCATTCAAAACTCACATGACAAAGCCCTCCACCCCCATTGACTCTGTGGACCTTCTCTTCTCCTTCTACCTCCTTTCCCCACTGAATTCCACCCACATTCACCTACTTGCTGTCACTTCAGTGCTGTAGGAACACTTCCTTCTTGCCTTAGCAGATCCAATGAATGTTCAGGAATACTCTCCTACTGTGTGTGCATAGCCATGTAGTTCACTCTCTTGCCTTAAATTTGCCCAGGGGTCATTTTCACAGTGACCTTTTCAAACCATCTTGTAATAGCATCTAACACTTGTCCTACCACTGCCATTCTCCCCCTCTGCTTTATTTTCCTCACATGACTGTCAAGAATCATGAAAGACATAAGATTTTGACCTGATTCATAAGCTAGTCAATGAGCTTGCCATGATTTCACAGATCTGGTGGAAAAAGATAGGTTATCTCTCACAACAAGAGGTTTAGCCAAGTAACAGCACTTGTTTTCCAGTATTGTTGAGATATAATTGAAAAAATAACACTGTGTGAGCTTAAGTTCACATGATGGCTTGATGTACGTATATTGTGAAAATACTTCCCACAATAGAGTTAGTAGTGCTAGTTCCTTGAGTCCCCACTTCCACCTGGTGAACATGCAGTACATTGAGTTATAGGAGAAAGTCTGAGTCTAGGTGCTACAGATAGAGACGGACTCCAGGTTCTTGGCAGTCACAAACAACTGAGCTGACCACACAGATAGTGTGAAGCAAAGCAAGCAGGAATTTTATTCCAGAAAGTACACTTCCCAAGACATAGGAGCAGGCCATGTGTGGCCAGGAATTATTCTTTTGTATTGAACAGTTTCAGGCTTTATAGAGTTCTTAAGCTTCTACACATGCAATTTCCCACAATCTTCCTTGATTGCCCACCTGGGGAGAAAACCGCAATGCTAATTACTATCCAGTGTCAGAAGGCAATTCTCAGAAATCAAGATGCTGACTCATGACAGTTGCAGTGTCTCAGGATTCTTTATTCTATCTCCTGCCTCCTAGGGATCCAAGAGAGCTGAACACTATGCATCCCATACTTTGTCTGGAGTGAAATTCTTTCTCTACTTTACTGAACAGTAAACGGGCCTTCCTTCCTCTGAGGGGAGGCATTGTCTTTCTATTCCAAGGTTGTATAAACATCTGAAAAATAGTGTCTGCTTATCAGGTGTACAGAAATGTTAGAGACTGCCAATAAGCACTCTCTTTGTCTAATAGCTAAACACTCCTTATTTTCTTCATAGTCTTCTTCCATCACTAGAACATAAACTCTAGACATTTATTAGTTGAATTCAATTCTTGTCTATTTTACTTATGGATAAAACAATGTCTGGCACATGAATGACATCCAATGAAGATTTGCTGAATGAGTAAATGAATTAATGGGAAAATGTACATAAAGTATTCACAGTGCCAAAACTTGGGCAGATGATTGATTATTTCAATAATGGATAAGATATACTGCCTTACAACAGTGAAATATAATACTGGAATTTTAAATTAACACTTGATTGCTTGGAAAAATAGTTATCTTAAGTATATAACCTGTAAGTTGAAGATTATTTCATTTTTGTAAATAAGCACACTCACCATTTGTACAGGAAAATCATGAAGGAAAATGCACCCAAATTCTCAGGATTTTTAAATAGGCTAAGAACAGGACATCTTTATTCTCTTTCCTTTCTCTTTTATTGTCCAAGTTTTCTGTTAATTTGTATGTATTATTTTAATTATCAGGAAAAACAAACATTCTTATTTCTAATGTTTTTATTGTTTCCTAAAATTAAAAAAAAAAGTTTTAAAGAAGACAGGCAGGTAGCCTGAATCTACAGAACTGCTTTTAATCACCTCCAAGTGCAGAAATCTTCTTCACACCCCTAGAAGCAGGAGATTCTGCTACAACTCATGTTAGATAGCTGATGGTCAATATTCTTCAGAAAATGGATAATAAGGGTGATCAACAACACTGAAAGAGAAGGAGGGATATTCATTTACTAACTCAGTCCCAAGCTTTCAAAAACAGAGTTTGTCTGTGGACACAGTCAGAATGGGCTAAAAATTCTCAATTTCCCACCATGCCCTTCCTTCTACATCAACATAAAGACATGTAGCTCCTGGTCCATACACTCAGTTCCCACAGTAGATTCATATGCAGTAGAAAAGCCAAGAAAAAGCTAGTTTGCTTTAGATTACAGTTTGCTGTTATATGTGAGAACTATGAAATGCAGTAGTTATTTTGTTCCACATGTCATTTTTGTCCCTGCACTCATGACAATGTTCACATAAGGATTGGGGGTGGGCGGGGGGGGGGGGGCGGTTTTTTTTGTTTTGTTTTGTTTTGTTTTGTTTCACAAATTCATTCAACAGGTCAGGGTCTCTCTGTTAAAGAACTTCCTTCTTTCTTGAGAAGACAATATGTATGACTGCATTACCATGCCTGCCAAATGTAATTACAGCTTTCATACAATTTTTTAATTTATTTTCTTAAAATTTATTTATTAAGCTTTTAGAGAAAGGGGAAGGGTGGGAGGTTAGAGGGAGAGAAACATCAATGACTGAGACAAACATCAATGAGTTATATCTTGTATGTCCCCAGCTGTAAACTGCAACCAGGCCATATGCCCAACCTGTGAGTCGAACTGATGACCCTTGGCTTTGTGGGACAATGCCCATCCAACTGATCCACACCAGTCAAAGTGTTTTCATACAATTTATAAGAACATTTCTTATACAGTAATCAGTGTTGCCATTATTCTCCTTTTTTCCCAGGCTCTCATCTGCTTTTTAAAATTTGTCTCTTTCAGTTTAATTGCATTGAAGAGTGCATTTTAAGAAATTTTGTGTGCCAGGAGCTGGACTTTTCAAGGGGCCTGGAACAGGTGCAAGTATTGCCACTGTCCTGATGAAGATCACAGACTTACACTTAAAAGCCTTGGATGCAGAAAAGTTACTTCCCACAACCTTTTCATTTATAATGTCTTTTCTCAGCAACACAATGCAGCTTTAAACAGAGTTAAACAGGAGAGTTTTGAGATCTTTCTTTTGAAACTAAATCTTAACTCTAGAGCTAAAGTTTTAATACCTTATCTCTAACTCCTTCACAAACTCCTCTCAATTTAGTGAGTCTTCCTTCCCTTCAATCTCGAGACCCTCCTGCAGGAACTGAACAACAGGCTTCTATGTTTGTGAATAGTCAAAGTCCAGGAGGAAGAGGCTTCAGGGGCTACTCTCCTAATGGACAGAGGTGACCCTGGGCACATCTTGACTTGAGAAACAAGAGAAATCACAGGATCTTATGCTAGTGTACGCCACAGTGGACACATGAGGGACAAGGGTCAAATAACTTTGTGATCCATTTGTAATTCAGTTTAGTGACATTACATGACTAAGGAAATGGGGTTTGTGATAAGGATAAAATGCCAATAAAATGATAAATTTGGAAGAAATGGACAGTGTCTTGGGGGAAAAATGCCCAGTTGTGAAGAAATGCTACAGACTCTGAGGAAGAGGTAGAAGCAGCTCTCCATTGTGATGTTCCCACATATACGCACACTTGCCTTCATGGGCCCTCTCCTCCATGAAGAAACTGTTCATGTTACATTTCACAATTGTGTTAGGACAAAAATGAATAGGGTCCAGGGTGCAGTCATTATTACATGTTCATTATGAGCATAGCCATGTTTTCTCCTGATTTCAAAAAGAATGAAAGGTGAAATATTTTCATAGGCTCCTGTAAACAACAGTATGAACAGAGCCCCTTTCATATGGAGCCAGGGTTGCCTAGCAGAGGAACTAACTGACATGCATTTCTCATCCCTCAAACTTTTTTAATGTTTGAAAGGGCAAAATATTCTTTGGAGAGGGTCTAAACAGGATTGTGTCCCAGGGAACTGCTTGCAAGGATAACAAGAAGCAATCAGAAGTACTGGACTGAGGGCTACTAGGCTGAAAATTAAAATCATTAGTTAGAATGGACATCTGTGCATGTAATAGTTGTTCCCCTTCCCTTTCTCATAAATACCCATTGCCTTTATCTCCTAGTCAGAACATTGTTTGGGCTTCTGCCTGAACTAATGATGCCCAAATAGCTATTCTTATTGATTCAATAAATGTTTGTTGCCTCTTCCTTTAAATGGCCTTTTATTTTTAGGTTACCATCCCTAATGGTATAGTAGGCCAAGGCACTGTGCCTCCTGTGTCAAATGGGTAAGTCAGAGCTGAGTGGACATAAACCAGGCACAGGAATTAGGGTATAGAGTCATGAATTCACCATGATGCAAACTTTGACCATTTAATTTATGGTCTGTTCCAGACCCCACTCATATTTTTGTTGGGTCAGATACGGGGCCTGGAGTACACCTATCTCTGAGGTCTCTGGGAAACTCATGTTTTCTTTCTACGCCAGAAATCAAACCTGTCTCCCAGATATAAGGAGGGTGAGTTCTTCTGCTAATGTACATGCTATAGAAAACATTCTGGAAAACACAATCTACAAGTCACTTACATTAGTAGTTGAAAAAAACGGAAATTTCTGTTGAGGCCATCAATTGCTTTAATGTCTTCTGGAGTCAGTTCAAAGTCAAAAATCTAAAAGAAGAGAAAGAATCACATTACTCTCCCCCAAAGCAGCTGGCTTCCAATGGGCAACTTGAGGACTTTCTGGCTGGACTGAGACAAGGAGAGAACTAGGGAGGGTGTCCCCTGTCACCACTTCCTATCTCCTGCCCTGAGAACACTCCTCCTGGGTTTTCCACTTCTCCATTCCCACTCCCTCTCCTCCTAAGTTCCACTTTACAGAAAACGGTGTTTACAAAATACCTGCTGTTTGGACCAAACTTCAGTCTGTTCCCCATCACAACCACCACACACACTCCTTACATGTGACCTAACTGTGTGAACTAAAGCAAACTTTGGAAAGAAGAACAAACGGCCTCTTTGAGGAGCTGTTGACCTCAAAAAAAGCATTTTCTGATCAATTATTCAGTAACACACCTACTCACCAATGTTTACTGCCTTATAAAAGAACAATCTTTCTGATCAGTCATTGAGACACTTACAGATCCAATATTCAGAGAGTTTTCCCTTTTGAATAAAAGATCTTTTAAGTCCAGATTTGTTTTTGTTTGATGATACAAACTGACTGTCCCCTAGTGGAGAGTGAATTAATAACAAGGCAGAGAGATCGTGGTTAAGAAGTATGAAAACAGGAAGCTCATTGTTTTATCCAGAAGACAATTTCATTGAAAACTCAATGCCTGTATCTATATCTATCTATTTATCTATCTATTATCTATCTAGTAACCATTCATTCATCTTAAAAATATACTCTAGGACTGATTTGGTTGTCATGGGAATATGAGGGTGCAGCAAAATTACAATACAGTTGTGAGTATGTGAAACACAGTTTATTGTTGCATTATTATTTATTAACTGTTGTATTATTTTCTATACCAATGACTGTAAACCTACCTTTGCCTATCCCTGTATATTAACATGTTGGGTTGACCTTAAAGTTAATGTGGGATTTCTTTCTGATTGGTTTAACAATGAGATTTAAATTTGCTTATTACACATTTCCATAAATTGAATGAACTAAACCTATAGCTTCAAGGTTTGGGAGCAAATACATGACAAATATACTATGCTCTAAATAGTATATAGAGCATAGTAAATAGTTTGCAAATAGTAAACTTATCATGAAATTGTTAGCTGTCCTCATAAAATGTCATAGAGTTTACATAGTCTCTCATGAGGTTCACAGCAAAACAAGTTGAAGATCACTGACTGACCCAAGGGACCAGAAGATATATGAAGGAGAGTTTAGGGGAAACATTTATTCATTCATGTTTTAGTTTGTCCGTCTATAAACTTTTATGTAGCTTTCTATCTGCCAGGACTTCTTCTGGGGAAAACATGCTCAAACATGGCCCAGAGACAGTCCCTGCATTTAGGGTCTCACAGTCCAGAGAGCACCATTTCCTCACTCTGGAAATTCGGTGTGCAGCCTATACCTGGAAGTTCTCTTTGATTCTCTTCTCATTGAAGCTCTTGGCCAGGACCACCACCCCTCTCTGCACTTGGTAGCGCAGGGCCACTTGCCCTGGATTTCTGCTGTGTTTCTTGGCAATGGCATTCATAATTGGATCCTCCAAGAGAATGGGGCTATCCTTTTCCACCCTGAAAAGAAAACCAGAAAAGGAGGGTTTGAAGGCTGTAGGACTAGAAATCTATAGTGTAGTGTCCCTTTCTCCCAAATTCCCCAGATCATCAAGAGAAGTGTGTTATGCAGTACATCTATTTGTCATCATTGTACTGTTATGATTAATGCATGGCAAGCCATATAAATTTTATCACACAATCTCTTTTAAAAATAGTACTTGGAATGTAGTTTGGGGAAGATGGATGTATGTGTGAAACAAGAATGAAAGAATGTTGATGACTTGGAAATTCAGTGAAGGTACATGAGAGCTCACTACACTGTTGTGTTTGCATTTTTTACATTTGAAGTTTTCCATAATAAAATGTTAAATCTGAATTTTAAAAAAGTGTTTCATCACCAACACAGTAGCTGACATAGGTTAACTCTGATACTCTCATTACCAGGTAGGGTCTCTTTGGGACCCCAGGGCACTGTAAGCAACAAGAACAATGTCCTTGGACTTGCAGAACTCCAGCAGTTTGCTCTGGTTGAGGTACGGGTGACATTCCACCTGTGAATTCCAAGACCAGAAAGTATCAGAATATATGAGCCAATACCATGTCAATTTGAGAAGCCTTTGAAGAATTACCTAATACTACATTAATATGTGCACATTTTCCATATTGGTCATTTTCTCATGTACCTTCTGAACTACATTAAAATTCTATTGACTTTCAGAAGTCAAAAAACAACTTTCTTAATTTTTAGTAGTGTTTAAAATTATTAAAGACTGTTATATCCTGGTGGTGACCTCTACATGTCATTCCTTGTGGAAAGAAACCAGGATTCCCCAGAAAAATAACTGACTCGACTCCTGGCCCAAAGAGCTACAAACTGAGCCTAGAACATCTTGTATTCTAGTAAAGGAGATAGGAAGCATGCTGAGGGATGTCAGAGGATGCAAGTTCATCTAAAGAGACATCTTCTGATTAATGATGACAATTCAATCATCATTAAGAAAGTGAGTACATTGGTTGAATTCATGAATTCACAATTACATATATGTGATCAAGTTTTAGATATAACATCCAATTTACAAGAAGAACAAAACAGCAAGATATCAAAGAGTATCACAGGGATCAATCAGTAAAACCAATTGTCAGAAAAGTTTTAAAGGAATACAGGCCTAGTTTCTCTCACAATAAGTTGAGAGAGAGAAAAAGAGAGAGAGAGAATGAAATAAAAGGAGAAAGAAGGAGAGAGGAGGAAAGGAGCCAGGGTCATATTTTACCATATTATGAATTATTTTCTACCAATAGAATCCTAGAAGTTAATAACTAAGATGAAGAGTATAAATATTTGAATGGTTTTTGCATAATTTTCAGAGTATTTTACAAAAGGGATACTCAATTTTACAATATCATAGTGATTGAACATTAGATTAGCAACAGTGTTATTTAAAAAAATTATATCTCTTAGTTATGATTCATCTACCTCCTCACTTTCCAATATCTGTTTTCTCTGGCTTTTTCCCCTCACCCCTCAGTACTGCACCTGTGAGGTTTCCTATGAACTTTGTGTCATAAAACCCCATGCCTTTTCCATCCCTTGTTGGACTGGCTGCTCCCAGCAGGATCCACCCATGGGTCACAGGAACCTTTTCAAGTATCTTCTTTGATTCCCTGACACCACACGCTCCTCATTTTCTCCCTCCATGTTTGCCCACTCCTACTCAGTCCCCTAACCAGTACCTTTTGCCTGATCCTTAAATATTGAATTTCATGCCCTCTTTGTGGTCATTCCATGAACTTCCCTAGGAGAGGGAATCAGTTCCTGTCAGTTTAATTGCCACCCTGACATCAATGACTCCATGATATGTACCTCCAACCTTGACCACCACTTGAGCTCCAGACCAACACTGCCACCCTCCAACTCAGCATCTCCACATGGATGTCTCCTGGGGACCTCAAACCTACCTCTTGCATAACAAAAGTCATGATCTTTCCACTTCATTCAACCTGTTTTTTCTCTGGAATTTCTTATCACAATAAAGGGTTGATCAGGTATATAACTAGTTGGCATGAAGCCCAAAACCTTGGGACTTTTACTCAAGAAAGAGGGTATGAAGGGCAGAAGTAAAGAAGTAACCATGGACATGGCCTCACCTGGTTGCAGACAGGCTTGTACTTGAGCCCTGGCTTGTTCAGGATCATCTCCAGCAGTTTGTGATTGAAATTGGACACCCCAATGGACTTGGTTAAACCTGCATCCTTACACTTCTCCAGGGCCTGGGGAGGAAGGGCACGTGTGGCAAACCTGTAGTGTAGTTCAGCCCTCTCATTGGACAGGGAACTTTAGGGAAACTAAGCATCTGAACATAAATAACAATTTGGCTCAATGAAACAGTTTTATCATTTAGATATATTACTTCCTAAAGTACTTTATCCCTTGTGTCTTTGGGTCTGTGACACACATATCCAGAGCAGTAATTAGACATTAAGATGCTTTTAAACTCCCCTCACCTCCCTACCCCCTCCAATGATGCCTGTTTTCCTGCCTAGTGCATAACAATAGTTCTTTAACAAATGTTGTCATATCAGAGTCAGGGTCAAAGAGGACCTTTGAGGTTTTCCACTAGTTGAAGGTTTTCTGCTTCCTCTGTCCTAGATGGCTGAAAGGAGTGTATGGAATGAATTACAGAAGGGTAGGCTTCACTGTGGTCCTGCTAAGCTCACAGCAGCTTCCTCCAACCCTGCTGTGTTTATCTGTCCTGGAGCAGAGGTCTCACTCCCCTGGAGTTTGCTTCTTATGATGACTCTTTTCAGGCCCCAAGCTCTACCTGATCAGTGGGCAAGGAAACCCCCACTAGAATCACAGAAGTTTACATTAAAAATAGACCACACCTGTGATTCCATTTCAGTCCCTTGCTTTACAGCCCTAAACTCCAAGGTACAGAGGAGTTTGGTGACATGTCTGAGGGCAGAGACAGATGGGGTCAGAGCCTGTTTCTTCTGCGCCTGTGTGGGGATGTCCTCCTGTGACAGTGTGTTGGGGGGGGCAGTAGCAGAACTCACCTCCCACGTGTCACGTAAGTCCACTGTATCTAAAATAACTTTCCCACTGACATCCTTTGGTATAAGGTCCTCTCCAGGCTGGAATACAGGGAGAGGGAAGAAAAAATTTTTTCAAGAATGGCCTTCCTGATGCCTGACCACCTTGTTTATGCAAACTTCAATGTGCTGTTTTGCGAGCAGCGTGCCTGTGTGTGTGTGTGATATGTGTGAGAGAAGGTTTTGGGGGAGAAAATCAGAATCCCATCCCAGAATGAAGCACAGGACCTCTCCCTCAATTACCTCAACCTTCCTGTCACCAAATGACCAAAAGTACTTCACTAAGAATAATTTACCTACAGCTGTGATTCATGTTGTTTCACAAGGACAGGCTGGGTGTACGATAGGGTTTCCCTTTACTATTAAGACTGTGCTTTAGTTCAGTTTATGATAACCCATCAAAGAGTGAGAACACCAGATGTGCTCAGTGAATGTCCACTGCAATGAGAAGCTGGACCAGCAAAGCCCAAAGGAGCCCAGTTGTGCAACATGAACCACCCCAGGGTGCCTCTGTCTGCATTGGGCTCAGGGTCCATATTCAAGGGACCCTCCCACTACCAGGTGTGGATGTCCCATTGTGTCTCCACTATCTTTTGTAGCTCAGCTTTATTGAGGGCCTCATGACTCAGGAACCACAGACAAGGGCTCATTACTTAGACACAGATCGCAGTGACCTCAGTGATTTGAGGTGGAGACAGTGAGATCATTGCATTGCCATCCTTCTCAAGACTCTGGGATGAGGATAAAAAATCTTGACTTAGTTAAAGTGAGGTAATGTAATTATGAAGGAGAGTTCATTTAGCAGTTCTAGCCACCCCACTCAAATCTACCTCTCTCGGTGAGAACCCAAAAAGCCTAGCTGGAATGAGATACTGGAGGGGCAACAGCAGCAGTGAAATACTCTTGGGCATGTCAAGGAAGACAAAAGCTCACCTTCATTGCTGTTGGAATATGAATGATGAAGAGATCTACATAGTCCAGTTGAAGATTCTTCAGTGATCTTTCCAGGGCTGGTCGAACCAGTTCTGGTCGAAGGAAAGTAGCCCAAAGCTGCAGTAACAAAAGGAAATTGAAAAATGTCTTATGATGTCACACTTCTGGGAGCCAAAATTGAACATCATAGTTAAGAGACTAAGATGTGGTAACAAACATGTGTGCTGGTGTAAAAATAAGAATTTGGGGGCTAAATTTATGTTACTTAATATATATGAGCTTCTTCACAGATTACTGAGGTTTACTTGAGTGACTGTAAGAAAACTGCAAGTAAAACTTAGATGGGCCAGGAAAAGCAAACAACAGGTTTCAAGGATTAGAAAAGTCATCTCTGAAAGGACAGTCAAGACATGTCGGGCAAGGGGAAATGGAGCACACTGCCCTATATAACAAATGCCTGGACCCAGGGCTGCTGAGGAGTTCACGCTCTGAAAACAAGTCATCATTGCTGTGGACACCATTGGACCATTGATAGAGCCCATGGCTCTCTTTACATTGGAAGCAGGATTTTCCACCTAAGAAAATTTTTACAAATTTCAGTGCTGACTTGAAAACAGTATTTCCTAGTCAGACTCTCCTCTCGGGATAATATGTCCACCTCACTTGGATATGTCCTGAGGGAATCTGCTGAAGAATGAAAGGAGTGGGCCCACCCTGTAGTGGCTCAGTCATCCCACACAGCAGATGAAGAAGGTGAATATCTTACTATAGTTTTACCTGTGAATGGGACCCTGTTCACAGAGGATGGGAACCTGTACCCCACCCCTAACACATTCCAGAGCAGTGCAGTCCTTTCCTGTGTTCTGTTTTTCTAGATGGGCCTCTACAATGTTAGGAGGTCAATGAATTATTCAACTAAGACCAGAGCTTTTTGCTTTTTTTGTCTCTTGTTTTTCCAAAATAATGTATCCACTCTGACAGCGGCCTCTCGTCACCCCACACACAGCACCTTGGTGGTGTAGAATATGTCCTCTCTCTTCACAGTGCCATCCGCGATTTTGTCTCGAATGGCCTGGCCAACCTCCTTCTCGTTTTGATAGACGTATGCCGCGTCGATGTGACGGAAACCTACATCAATTGCCATTTTGGTGGCCTCAGCAGCCTTGCTCTTAGGAACCTACAAAATATAAGTAAGGAGGGTTGGCAATTAGCCCGACTCAGAGAGACGTAATTTATTTCCTTAAGAGTAGTTTCTCCAGCTGTCTCTCCGTGTCTCCTCTTCCCCTGCTTGAGTAACAAACAGCCTCAGGGACAAACCTGTACCCCGGAGGCATGCACTAAACTCCAGATTCATCAACTGGAGATTATAAACTCTATAAACTTATAAATTAGAGTTTATGAACTCTACCCCTTGTCTGAATGAACTAGTGGAAAGGTCTTCACATGCAACATAGAAAATCAAGCCATTCAGTAGAGAATCTGTTCAACGTGCCCAGGAATGAGACAGCACCTGGCACACTCTGCTCCTACCCTCCCTTTCCCACCTAGGAGTTTATGGTGCCTGTGTGCGCAACTTTAGGACCTGCCTGACCAAAGTAGCTGGTTCCCAGTGACAGAAACCTTTACCAGGTGACACAGGACGGGCTCCACCTAACCCAAGCCATGGCTTCCCCCTAGTCATTCCGGGTCCCTGCCTGTCAATCCTGGGTTTATATGGCGATTACTGTGTGGACAGTGGTGACTGAATGACTGATCCTGCTTTTCAGAAGAAGATAGAGTGTCCTCTCTATGCTGGTGGCAGGGAGGGGCATGTCTGGAGTTCTGGCAATCACTAGGGCAGCTCTGGGTGCTTCCATGCCTGGGAACAGCCCTGAATGAACAATGTTAGCAATTACCGCTGAGCGAGGGCATTGACCAGGTGCTCAGGCCTGTCAGTGATTACCCCATGAGGCAAGCGATCCAGGCCCCAGAAGTACTGCCTGAGTGTGGCTGGGGTCTAGAAGGGCTGGCAGTGGGGACAAGGAATATTATAATGGCCTGGGACCCAACTGGATCACCAGGGAATTTTAAATCTTGGTTTTGTTTTGGTTGTCATTGTCTAGATATATAGATAGATGATTTAATGAAAAACTCATGAACAATTTCTAAATCTCATTCCAACTTTTAAAAGGGGTCTTTAAATTAATTCCCCTTTCCCATAGGAAACATGAGGGCTCCTCTGCCTGAAGTCCATCCTCTCTACTTCAGGCAACGTTTTGTCCTCCATCCTCAGTCCTCCATGCCTTCTGTTTCACCCCCAGGGCCCAGGGGCTGCGTGGGGCTGCCCCTGGGTCAGCATCACAGCTTCTGTGAAGGGACTGAAATAGAAGCGTGCCTGTGCTACTTGAAAGAAGCCAGAAAGTTCAGAACATTCAGAAGCCACTTGTAGGGTAAGTAAGTGGAGGCAATCTGGCTTCCTTACCCAGCTGTCTGGGTAGCTAAAGGAAGCAGTGTTCCCATAGACGTGGAGGGGCCTGATAACTAGCATTCTCATAGCCTTGAGACTGGGTCCAATAAACTGTTCCCATAACATGAAGAGGGCTCGCATATATGGAATTATGTTATATTATGTAATATTTGGGCATCTTGCTGGCTTTGATACCCTCTACTATTTAAAACAGGAAGGGACTCCCTGTTGGGGGTGATGATGATGAGAGATATGCAAGGGGACAGGTGACACGATGGGTGCCATGCGGGGAGCAAGGGCCATGACATGTGACATGTAGAAAGACTTGCAGCTTGCAGTGTGCATGGCTTACCCACCCATGAATAAAGAGACATGCCAGACATCCCAATGCCTCCGTGAATATTTTTCCAACTGCTTGAATACCGTGAACCTGCCTGGCCTTGAAGGGTGGCAACACACCACTGCTCACCAGAACATCTATTTCCGACGTCAAGCCTGCTTAATCTCAGCTCAGCTCAGCTCCTCCTTGGAGCTTTCCCAGAAGCCCCCACTTTACACAAGCCTCCCTCTTTCCAAACATTTCAACTTCCCTTGGCATTTAGTCATGTAATATCTAGTATTGTTAGGTAGTTGCTCATTGTGCTTCAAGGACTTTACCTAGCAGTCAAATCTCCAGAGAGCAGAACTATTTTCTGTGCAGGCTTTCTCTACTGCTAGTGATATTTTAATATTGAGAAGAAGTTTATTCTTCATTGTGGAATTGGTTAATTAATTTAATTAATAATTACCCTCCCTACCCCGATTATCTTGATAGCTACACCCGTAAAATCAAACAATTTATTGTTCCTTTCTTCCCACCAAGCCAAACATTAAAAAATAAATTCTAATATTTATCCCAGCCTGTGAGACAGCTAAAATCAACATAGTGGTTTCACAAACAGGTGGGTACATGAGTCTGACCCTGCTCAGCACCAGAACTTCTATGAAAGGACTGAGAGGACAGCACACCTGAGCCACTCCCAGGAAAACCCACAGCAAGAGCAGGTGGTGCCCAAGGAATGGCTGCTCCTCCCTCAGCACACAGGCTCTGCCTGGGGGCAGCGTGGGCACGTTCACACAGCCTGCCTCAGAGTTGCAGTGCTCCATGCCTTCACGACTGAGTCTGAGACACTGAGTTGGGGTGTTTCCCAGAACACACACCTGACTGTACAAAAGAAGTCACAGGCACAGGAGCTGGACCAGGCTCCCTGTTCCTCCTGTGATGCACAACAACTTCGGGTGAAGTTGGGGGAGTTGCATTCAGAACAGAACCCTGGTTAGGATGCAGAAGAAGTCTCCATTTCACTTTGCACCTTTTATACTGTGCTAAGCAGATGTACATGTTTTTTTTATTCTTCAGAGAAGATTATGAGATTTTTTTTCCCCTATTCTCTGCCTTTAACAAATGTATTGGTTTGGCCAAAAAGCCCATTTAGTTTTTTCCATTAAATAGAAGTTGCATTTTTTCATTTTACCAATAATTTTATTGATTTGTATATTTTGAGTATGTAAACTATCCTCTACATGGTATAATATTGATTGCTCTCAATTAATGTCTTGATTTGATCACTATCAACTTCGACTGCTCTACCCAATGATAAAGTATCATCCAGTGAGGAATCTCCACCAAGAAACTTTGTAAACCACTTTTGATACTTTGAATCATTCACAGAACCTTCCCCATACACTGTAGAAATGATTTTTTGCATTTCAGTTATCTTTTTACCTTTCTTGAATAGATAAAGCCTCATATGCCAAAAAGTTGCTTGTTTCCTTTCATCTTCAATATTAAAATGGCTACACAAAAATTCACCAATTTTGATAAGTTTTTTAATGCAAACTGATATGGCAGCTGGCATTAAAATACCATCTAACAAATACATTGTCACAAATACAATGTAACAAAGAGATTGTCACAATACAATCTAACAAAATTATTTCCAATGAAGTTAAAGATAATGAAGGGCTACTAGAGCCATCTTAGGGAAAATAATGAACTTTTTGGACAACCCAATGATAAAAGTTAGATGTAATGTATGTAAGACATGCCCTGAGCTTAAGCTGTGACAGTGGTCACACGGATAATCATGTCACTGCAAACAAACTGGGCCTGTCTGAAAGCTGTCAGCTATTGACATTTCATTCATGGCTCTGTGGAATGGAGGGCCTCTGTCACTCACTGGGGCATCCCTTCCAGGCCACCCCAAAGCTGCCCCTTCCGCACCGTGACCAGAGTTTGACACTTGGAAAACATTGTAGTCAGCCATGCAGATCAGCAAATAATACAACTGAGAAGCCCAGTTCTGACTCTGTTACTTATGCCTCTTCAGGTATCCTCTCTAAGTGCCTTATGCTTGGAACAATAGTGGCTCCTTTGCTGACAAGAGTTTCAGTGACACACATTCTCTGGCAAATACTTCCAGCCCCACAAACCTTCAGCAAAGCTGCCACATGCAGTCACGTTAGCTGTCCTTTCCTCCTGGGCCCACTACCCATAAGGAGTCCTAACCAAGAGCACAGTGACTCTGACTGAGAAGCAGACAGGTCCAGCAAGATCAGCCGAGGTTAGATTTTAAACAAGTAAGAAATAAGAAGAGTCATAGCACTTACCTGGGCCAGTTGTGGAGGAATTAAAGAAGAGAATGCAGGTAAAGTACTTACAATACATGGTGAGCATATACACTAAGTAACTCAAACAATAACAACAGTAATAACCATAGAGGTAACTCATCCTCGGAATTCCCACCTCTGACTTCCCAGAGCCAGCAGCTCATCATCCCACTTAGTACAAAGTCAGAGGTGGTGAAGCAGAGGCCACATCAGTCCTTCCAAATGACCCCTCATGTACTAGGCCCTGGTAGGGTAGTTTGTCCCCTGGTCCCCTAAGTTTGACTTACATCATCAGAAGCAAGAGTGCCAAATGCAAGCACTGGCATGAAATGCCCATCATTCAGTTTCACAGAACGACTGTGTTTGAGGTCCATTACTGCTTATAGTCCTGGGGAAGCTGACTCTGTCTTTCCTTCCTTCTGCTGACTGCAAACCTAGTACAAGGCCAGGCTCCAGCATTTTTTATTTCTACCAACCACAAGCAAGGCGGGGCTGATGGTAGCTGCCCAGAATTCTGCTGTGAAAACAAATCATTTCATTAACTTTTTGTATCTCTTTCAAGTCCTTGCAGGCACAGCTCCAGGGAGGGAACACAGAAATGTCACACCCATTGCTGGTTATGGATTTTCTCTCCAGCATTGCTCACCATAGACTCGTAAGTTAAAAAAACAAACAAAAAACAAAAAAGAAATTCAACATGTCATGTTGTCCTTGATAATCACAGCTGACTTACACAAAATGAAAAATAGTTATTATGGTAGTCATTTCTAAACACTAATTCTACTACAAGACCTTAGTTAAGTCCCTCACCCTTCACTTGGTCAAAAATGCCATCAAAAACGCACTATTCAGAATTTCCTAAACTAAGCTCCACTCCTGGTATCCAGCACACATGTAACAACATTCCTTAAGAAGCCCAACCCTTAATTTCATTACATATCTCCCTGTATCCGAACCTCATTCCAACCTCTGATTTTCTGTGGCTTCTTTGAGTCTTTTTGACAAGAAAATAATTGTCTGAACTCCAGGATGAATCTTGAAGTGGTGCCTTTGTTTTAGCAATGCCTCCTGCTGGGACAGACCACTGAAGTCCCCTCCTACTCCCTTCAGCCTTGTGAACTCCCACTTTCCTAACAGCTCCTGCTCCTGCCCACAGCTTTGATGACTTCGCCAGAGGGGCAATCCCTCTTTCTCACGTGCCCTCACATTGTGATAGCCTCTGTTGGTGCAGTTCAGGAAACCAAATCAGTGAAATTACACCCCAAACTAATAAGAAACTTGTGCTAGATAGAACCCCTGAGTGTTGCTTTGTTTAATGTTACTATTTTGCTTGCCCTGCTTCCTTTGCAGCCTGCCACAGGATGTAACACTGTAATTTATTTTCAACCCGTCCGTCCCTCTGGCTGGTCAAGGTCAGAATTCTACTAGATTCTATTATTGCATATATTTAAGTGTTCATTACAAGTATAAATGTGATGAGTATAAGCTATATATTTTTATTGTAAAAGTAGGGCTATGTTCTGTGTCAGGTAACAAGAAAATTCCCACACTTGATGTGAATACCCTTGAGCACATCATTCAACCTGTCAGAAATTTGTCTAATATCCCCTGCACATTTACCTGTGGTTTGCACTAAATGCCTTGTTAAAGTGCAGAGACACTATTTCTTCCTTTCTTCATGATGCGGCAGCCTAGGAACTTTGTTAGTCAGGGAGAATGGGTCAATTTCTTCCTCAGTGAAGTCATACCAGGTTACCAGGCTCCCCACTTCTCCTTTAAAAAGGTCTCATAAAGCTTGCATTTCAACATTATCTGAAACCATTTCTAGATATCAATATCACACCTGACAGCATATGGTTTTCAGGATCCATCTTCCCTTTGCAACTAGAAAGACATTTAGTGTTTGCTGCAGACACTTCTCCTGTTTTCTAAGATTTCTCAAAGGCTGCCAGTGAAAGAGGATGCTCTCATGGTACCAGCTGCTGGCCCTTTAGCAGAGCAGTGGCCACATCAGGTTGGCCCCAAGAGTCCCTGTCACCTGCTACATATGCCTTGGTGTAATAGTCCCTCTGGAGTGTGTGTGTGTGGTTCTTGTGACTTGCTCCTAATCCATGAACACTGTAATGTAAAAACGGTATGATTTTCATTATTAAGTTATACAGGACTGTGACGTCTACCTCCCTGATCAACTCCATTTTTTCTCAGCTTGCATACTTTGATAAAATAAGGGGAATGTTGGGAAGACTCCTGTGGTAAGGAGTTGTGGGTAGCTTTTGGACACCAGCCAGCAAGAAACTGAGGCCTTCATTTCAGCAGCTCCCAAAGAAAAAAATTCTGTCAATCACCATTTTGGAGGCAGACCTTTCCCCTGCTGAGCCCTCAGATGTGACGCCTACTTTGGCTGACACCTGGATGGCAGCCCATTGAGGAATCTGAGTAGACTACCTAGCTCTGCTGTGCCATGCCAATAGCACATCATCACAAACTTAGCAGTTGAAACGACTACAGGCAGATGGGTGAAATGACGATTGTAAGTCACCATAAGGAGACAGGATGTACAGAGTCCTGGGAGAACATGAGATAGAAGGCAGGTAACCCAGGCTGAGTGTGTTAGAGATGCTTTTACAGTGACCTCTGCATGTTTTTATGATGACCTCTGAATATTCAAGAACTGTATGGAAGTGTGTTTCATTTAATAATATAGGAGTGGGAATGAAAAGAAGGAATTTATTTTTTTAAAAATTGTGTATTTATTCTTACATGTTTAAACTTCAGTCACCTACAAAGTACTCTCCATTTGATGCAATACACCTATCGAGATGTTTTTGAACTTTTCATTTTTGATGCCTGTTAGTGCTTCTGCCATTTTTTGCTTCACTTCTTCCACATTTGCAAAACTTTTCCTTTAGAGAACTATTTTCATACAGGCAAACAAAAACTGCTGCTCAGTTAAGATTGGGTGAATAGGGAAGGTGGGCCATGGGCATCACACTGTTTTTGGTTAAAAACTGCTCAATACTCAGTGCAGTGTAGACAGGTACACTCATAAATCATCCATATGAAATGGACCAACACATTGAAAGAGTCTTCAAAGAAATTCCCTGGAGCTGAATGCACCCTCTCACAACAACCAGCTAGTACACTGTTACAAATGGGTTCCTAGAACACTCACCTAGAGGGGGAAGCCCGTGCTACATGGGGCTCACCCTCCAGAAGAGAATTCCAGTTTTCTGGGTCCCTCTTCATACATATTAATTGAGTAGCTATGATGTGCCAGACATAGTTGTAGGCATTATGAACAAAACAAACAAAATATAAATATCTGCCTGGTGGAGGTGATGTTCCAGTAGTAAGACAATAAACTAATTAACATGGAGAATGAAGGTCATGTTACATGATAAGAAATGCTGGCTGAGAGAAGTAGCTACTACACATCTTCAGGAAGTATGAAGAGAGGGCATTGTGAGATTTCTTGATCCCTATCACAGACCTCTCACCTTTCCCTTTCTTTAAGAATCTGCCCCACCATGCCTCACTTTTCTGGACATTGGTGAACTTTTTCCCCACCCTATTTAGTCCCTCTTCTATTTCCCCTGAAAGCCAGGACAGAACAGTGCCCTAAGCAAGATTTTTTTCTCCTTCCTGAGCAAATCCCAGCGATCAGCACCACCCTTGTAGCAGGACGAGGGAGAGGCTTGCTGGGTTTTCTCTCAGGGCCCAGCAGCAAGGATCGAGTACTGTCCAAGAAAAGGCAGCACTGTTCTAAAGCGTTTTGTTGGGATGGAAGAACAATAATTATTGACGCAAATCCTAAGAAGAGTAGGATGGAGTCCAAGTTACTCTAAAAGGAAATTTAACCAAAGAGAGGACAAAGTTCAATTAGGTCTCTGCGATACTGAAGGGTGACTCATGGTATTGAGAGAAGTATTCACATGGCATGGGAATAAAATTTTGCACATAGAGTCCTCCCTGAACAGGTGGGAATCCATTGTGAAGCAACAAAAATAAACTGCCTAATAAGCTGGGAACCTGTTTCAATCTGATTTCACCACTCATACAAACAGAACAGATATGGCCTTCAGGGCTCGTAACATGACTCCTGAAGAATCTGGTTAAATTCACGCCCCTTCTCACTCACCACATGAGCAGGTTCATCCCCAAGAACCTGTTTCTATTCTGGGGCTATTCACTGGCCCTCACTCCTGAACCAGCTGCCACCCCAGCCAAGGCCTCCCGCTCTGGGCCTCTGGTCTCCCTAACCCAGGTCAGCCATTGCAAACAGAGGCTTCGTCCGTACATGTCCCTGCTGGAACAATATGACTAGGCCCTTGCCAAGTTCTCAGCTAGAAGAACATCCGAGTCATACAAGATGTGAACCCCAAGCTGAAGCTCCCCCAGAGCTGTGCGGTACTCCCTCCTTCCCAGCACTTGCACCTTAGCTCCAGCGTCACCTCCTCAAGGTGGTCCTCTCAGCTGGATCCCTCTAATCAAAGTACACTCCCCATTCTCCACAGCTTCTCTTCATCTCACACATGTTCAACTTCTTCAGAACATTTACCACTCACTGAAATAACCTTATCTACACATTTATTTGCTGATGTGGTTTCAAGCATATTGAATCATTCAACACCAACCCCTTCACCTAGAACAGTCCCCAGCATGTAGCTGGTGCTCAGTAAATATTTGTGGAATGAATGCACAGTCACATTTGCTAGTTTCATTAGTCTCTGTTCTTAGATTCTGTGAATACAAAACTGTTTCTAAACTTTTATTAAAAATTTCAACCAAAACTGTGCTCTGCTCTGGAAAATTGACAGGCTCATCTCACGTGAGGAACAGAGTAACAGCATTTTTCATCCCTCCCTTCGAGGCTGGTACTGATAACAGCAGTGACAGTATTTAGCAGGTACAGTTGCACCCAGCTGAATGACAAGCCTAGGCACATTGAAAGCAGCAGCACAGCAAGCTGTCGTGACAGGTGACCACAAGGGTAGAACATGAACAGATTGATAATAAACATCCCTAAGGAGTTTCCAAGATCACATGAGACACTTTGAGGGCACAGCTCCAGCCACAAGTCAGCCAGGAAGACAGAAATCATGCTGAAAATTTAAATAGAGGGAATTCAAGATGAGGAACTGGTATTCAATTGTGAGAGCATCAGGAAAGCCAATCAGGGAACAATGAAACTACCCAGAAATTCACAGAAACAGGTAGCCACCACTTGCTGCTCATGTAGCTAAGACACAAAGAAAAGGACAGTTATGAAGACCAGAGCTGGTGAGGTGGGGGAGTGTCCACTGGGAGGACATGCAGGTATGGTGGACCCACTGGGTGGGAGCTAGAACTACTGACAAGATAGAAGCTTCTATCGCATTTTTCAAAAAAAGAAGAAAAAGCACCCCAGCATGTCCTTCCATTTTTACTCTCTCCTTAGTGCCTCTCA